TGGCCCGGCGGCGGCGGCGGCGGCGGCGAGAGAAGGGTGGGGTGGGGGGAAAGCAACAGCCTGGGAGTGGGCCGTGCCCGCACGCGGCTATTTTAAGGCTCCCCCGAATCGGAAACTCGAAAGCAGCCAAAGGGAGGGGGGGTGATAGATATATTTAAACTCCCTCCCTCCTTCCAGGAGCTTTTGAGATGGAGAACTTTCTTTTCCCTTCCTTTTCCTTGCTGGAAGGCCTCCCTTGGCAAGCGCCGGCCGCGCTCCTGGCTGGCCTCGAGAGCCACCCTGTCGGAAGGGGTGGGGAAGGAGGGAGGGAGAGTGGGCGTCTCACCGACGCTGGCGGAGCGGGGGACTTACGGCCACCTTTGCACCGCCCGCCTCTGCGAAGGAGCTTCGGGGGCACCTTGTGCTGGACTCTCCCTTTGCATGGTGGGGCTGACAGAGTCGCAGGGGCAGGGGCCTCCCCATCCCGGCCGCCTGGCTCCTGCGCTACCCCCTGCCTCGGTTCTCCCGCCCCAGCCATGGAGGCCGAAACAAATCCACACCTTGGAGGAGTTTGGAACCAAAGCATCGGCGACCAAGTCAGAACTGGCCCAAGTCGGCCCACAGCCCTGACTGGCTGCTGTGTTTTATCTTTTGCCACCCTGATTAAAATCCGCGATGATCCATGGCCCCGAACTTTGCTCTGGCCAATACATTGCTCCCCAGACTGGCGAAGTTTTCCACACGTGGGGCAAGCGGATTTTTGTTTTGTTGTTGTTGTTTTTTTTGCCTTGCAAGCCGCGCGATCTAGGGTCACGCAGGTGCGTTTGGAGGGGATGGTGGAGGGTCACCGGGGAAGTAACCTGACAGCAGATGGAAGTTCCCCCGACCGGTACAAGTCCAAAAGCGCTTCCGAAGCAAGCCCATTACTGTAGTTCCTGCATTTCTGCGATCCCGGCAGTAGGGGGCTCGGCTTTACAATCAATACCGTACAAGCAAGTGTACTTGAATGGCCCTAGTAAGACACGAGTAGTACTGTATTTTTAAGGTGCTTGGGTAGAACTCGGAATGTATTCTTTTAAACGACAAAACATCCCATCAGTCTTTTGTTTAAAGCATCTCCTAGGTGTAATACCTCACATCTTGTTAGCCGTAGTGCATGTTTTTAGACTTCAGAAGTATTTCCTTTTATGTACTGTACTGTACTGTAAAGGATTTCTGGATCATTCAGAATGCAGAATAAAAGTATTGTATTATGTAGTAAAAAGAGCTTGTACTTTTTAAGAGTGCTATCTCTTTCTGGTAAGTGGCAGCTTATGAAAACCTCATTTTGAAATAATTGTTATTGGAAATGATACCCCACTACTGTTACAAATATTTCATGGTTGGTTCCCCCCCCCCTTGAAAACAAGGACTCACTTTTTCTATATATTATCTTTTCTGTATCAAAGCTGTTACAAATAGTTACATACACACAAATATTCCAGTATCAGTTTATCTGTGAAATCTGGTTCTTAAACATTTATGCTGCCGAGGTTTCCTGCACTGCTTACAAAGCCAACTGCTTTGGACTGTGATGTTTCTGTATAAAGATGCTGCACGAGCATTGTTTTCCTGGTACAATCCTTTTCTCAACAGTCAATTAAGCCTTTGCACATGCTCTAAGTCACACATCTTAGGATGCAGTTGTTCTAGGGAGTGCAACTAAAACTAATTTAAAACAGTAAATTCTAAGGCTGTAAATATGGGAGGGGTGTACTGAAAAAAATAATTTTTTCTTTTGGCAAATGAGAGAAGTCAGTTCATATCTCCTAGAAAGATAAGAAATAAACTACAGAGAAACAGGGTGTTTAAAAATATAAACATGTTTGAGAGATGGACAATCTAGTGCAGGTCTTTCCAGAGGGTTTGTCTTGGACACTGATTAAGGCCTGATTAAGGAGGAGGAGACATTATTCAATTTTTCTTACTAAATATCCCATCCAATTTTCTGCATATTTACTGGGATTCACTGACTTCTGCTGAACATACTGTCCCTGTGATACCATTGACTGGCATTCTTCCAGACTTGACTGGGGATGTATAATTTAAAAATAATGGCACAAACTCCTCTCCCAGTGATTTTGTGGTTTAATGCAGATATTAGTATGGTAAAGGAAATAGCACGTGCATATTTACTCCGGAGTTCAACTACACTTATCTTCACATTGGGCAATATACTATATGTATACTATAACAATATGTGGTTTGTATATTACATTGTTGCATCCTGTGTTTAGGACTTTAGCCTGACCTCCTGACAGTAAACACTTTTACCTCTGATATTAAGCACCAATTTCTATATTGAATTCCACTCATTTGATGCAATGTTGTTCCATTAATATGACTGAAACAATTTAGTTTAGAACTGAGGAACTGCAAAGATTTTATTTCTACTATTTAGCAAGTATCAGTTAGTACTATGTGAAAATGACTATTACACTAATTAAATACGATCTCTGTCAGGTATACATGTATTAATACAGAAGATGCAATTTCCTATTTATAATACAAAATTTATTTCACATTGTTCAACATAAACAAGTAGTATATTAACCCTCAACTAATTCAAAGAGATTTAAAAATCAGAGTAGACATTTGAATTTTTTGCCATATGTAGAATGTAGCAATAATGTATATTTCCTTTTGGGTATGATTGATACTGGTAATCTTATTTATTTATTTACAAGATTTTTTAGTGGTCTGAGCAGCGTACAACATTAAAACTTTAAAAACATTAAAAATAGGCAATATTATAATAATATCCTATATTAAAAACAATCATTCAAACATTAATATTAATAAATCCTGCTGCTCATATGGCCAGCTAAAGAATACTATTTAATTAAAATGATGGCTAAACAGAAAGGTCTTTGCCTGGTGCCGAAAAGCCAAAAGTATTGGAGCCAGGCGGATCTCTATAGGGAGGGCATTCCAAAGTTGGGGGCGGCGGCGGCGGCAACAGCCTATCTGCATTAGCTGACAATATTGAGTCTGAAGTTCCGCAAATATATATATTTTAATCTGTGGAGCAGAATTGTGCAGATGTGACAAAACATTCATTTAATAGAACAGATGATAGCTCAATGGTTTAGGTCTCTGGCTGTGAAGCCAGAGGTTGGGAGTTCAATGACCCACTGTGACTCCCTGACAGGGGCTGGACTTGGTGACCCATATGGTCCCTTCCAGCTCTGCAGTTCTATGATGATGATGATTCAAGCATCTGAGATTGCTTCATATTAGACTAAACATAAAGCTTCCTCAGGATTATTGCTGTGTCATATTCAAAAAATGGAGCTGCTTGTAACTTCCAAGTCTACATTTTAACCCACACTGGATGTCTCCTCTTACGATCTTTTCTCTCAAAGTATACTTAGGAGAACTGTAAATTCATACTCAAACTGTGTTTCAAGAGGAAGCTGGCTGAATAGCTGCAAATGAGGAATAGGCTCCTATTATTCCACAGTTATTTTATAGTTATTTTGCTTGGTGCAGGTTTTCTTCATTCCTTGTCCCCCTCCATCCCACATCTGCCTAAATTTCCTATTTCCACAAAGCTTGTTTTTTCCTTTGTATGTGCTCATGCCAACATGAAGTAAATTTGCTGGAAGATTTTATGTCTTACTGCATTTTGATGGTGCTTGAATTGTAATCACCCATGCTAGCCAACATCAGCACAGCGTTACTAAAAGTTTTCAGCATTCTGATGCTTTCTTATCCATATTTACAAGTTCTGTTTGTTCAGTAAAGCAGCCACTCATTTCAATTAGAAATTTAACAGACTTTGGCGAAGACCTATATCCTGCACATGCTTACTCCTGAGTAAGCTCCGTTGATTTAAATTGTGCTACTATATAAGAAACATTCCCATGCTCTGCTAACTGTTAGGCTGCTTATTCCATGCTGCATCTATACATTACTAAAGTAACTAATATCTGGGCCACTATAGTGGCACATTGCATATCTGATTGCCATACCTTTAGAATAGATATAATATAAAATTTCATTGCTCATTTTAAAGTTCTGAAGTTAACAACATAAACTTCAAGTTGAGTAATTAAGTAATCCTTATATAGACACTTATTAAAGTATTTATACATATTATCTTAAATCTACATCTATCATTTTGCCAATTAAAATTAGGACTTTAATTGCAATTAAGTAATTTAATTGCCAATTGAACAGCAAAATTGCTAAGTGACTAATTTTAATGCCTATTTTAATTACCAATCATGACTGGGGAGGGAGCTAATCAAGCAGCATCAGAGTAATGATGTGAAAAAAAAGAGGAGAGAACAAACATTCATGGCTCCATGCCTCAAAAAGAAGCATACATTAAATAAATGCAAACAATTTTATAGGCCTAGCACAATTCTGAATTTTTGTAGTGAAATACTTGAACATATAGAGCACAACTGAACATATAGAGCACAACTGAAAATGCTAGCCATCCTCTATGAGGTGCATTTCCACAATTCACATTATGGTTCAGCAAAAACTAAAAACCTGAAAATTGTACTGTATGTACAGAAAAGGCTGCCTAGGACATTGCAAACTAATAGGTTATGCATGGAACAATGTTTTACAACAGTTTAATTTTAGAAGTAGAAGTAAAAACTATATGCAAATATATTCAGTTATATTGGAAGGGGGGAATTCTACAACATTGCATTTTAAAAGATGCTAATTACTTATTAAGACAGCTAATATAGCAAAATGAAAAACAGGAATGTTGAAATATTAATACAGCATCAGGAAGACAGCAGCTGTGGTGGTAATGAAATCAGAGTAATGCTTGTAAGTAAACCTATGCACTTAGAATCAACAATACAGTGGTTGGTGACCCCCCTCCTTTCTGATGAAAGGTGGATCCCACTGTGCCATCAGCATTACTATCTAGTGAGTTTGGAAGATAAAAACCATAAACAATGAACTCACCCAGGACATTGGAAGCCACATCTTATAAGGTCCATACCAAATCAATAACTATTCATCCTAGTACTCCTTTCCCTGGCTAGTTAGGTATTTCCAATTAATTATGTTTTTCTATTTCTTTAACATGGATGGTTCCACAGTAAAGCAGTTACTAGATTCTCATCTCAATTTTATTTATAGAAAATACTTCTGATTAACAAAAAGTTCTGTCCAGGCCAGGAGCATCAAATATAGACTGGTATAGATCCACAAGTGGTTAAGCACATTTTAAGACACACCATTGTACCCTGCTTGTATGACATTCATTTATAAACAGAAGACAATACATCAGAGCTCTTTAGAAGGTTTTTATTGGTTCAGTGTAGTTGCAAAAGTTCACCCAAAATTATTACTAAATGCAAAGCAAATAAACTACATATTAAACCAAAGCCACTTGTTAGGTTACCTCAACAGCCTCCACAACAAAGAAGGTGGTGATGAGAAGGGTCAGGGCATCACTTCCTATGGATCCTTTGAAATGCAGAAAAGATTGTTAGACTAACATTACATATGGCTACATCGTAAAGAACAGACTGAGGGTTTGTAAATTTTATTCTAGTATAAACTCCCTAGTGTAGTGCTTGCACTAATGGGGTGTTATACACATTGAATAAGTAAATAAATAATAGACTGGCCCATGAACTTAAACATCATTGCTTCAGGTTTTTTATATCAGTGAATGTTAAATAGTTTTTCCACAGTCAGCTATGACGGCAACACAGAATCTGAAATGATATACCTATTTTATATCAATAAAGTAGCTCCCCCCTCCAAAAAGCCCTTAAGGGTGTAGCGCCTAGTTTTTGATTAACAGTTTTCCCTATCAGAATTCAGCATCTAAAATTCCCCAAACATATTGGGACATCAGCTATAGGCATGCACTGTGCTAAGCATGAATATCCTGTTTCAGCAAAGTCTAATATCCTAGAAGAATGAACAAATTCAACTGCATTCCTTGAAATAAATTATCAGGTTGGTTTTGTGAAAAGTGCACACGGTATATCATTGCAGCCGTTATGTTCTGGGGAAGCAGGAACTGTATGTTTTCAAAATACAAATGGAAGTGAATGTGCAGCAGCATATGAATAATTGAAATGCCCTTATTCTTATACTATTTACCATCATTCTCCCTCTTTCAGACAGAATGCCAGAAATTCCTAGGAACTGCAACACTTACAGGTAACTCTGCTTCACGCTCCATTAATGTGATTGAGCACAGCTATGGGAAAAATGCTTCCTATAGATTTTGAATTCTGCCAAACAGTCCTTTCATGAATGAGCCGTATTTTCCTTCTCACTGTACTTTAACATACAAATGCTGTGGCAAACATGGATAACGGAAACAAACATGATAGGGATGCTATTCTAACAAATATTTGTCTTAGGAACACTATCTGAAATCTACTGACAGGAAAGGTTTTGAATCAGGATCTAGACATTTTACATAGAGATTTATTTGCCAGTGAACAAGTTTGGTTTGAAATATACATACCTTTCTGACTTCTAAGACTTAGCTCCTTTTTGTAAACTTGGATTAGTTTTGATTAGATAAAATTATTTAAGTATTTAGATACCACTCTCCTGCCCACTAGGGCAGAAATATCACTGTTGTCATTCTGAAAGAAAAAAATTCATGCATTTTAAATAAAAGTAAAAGAACACATGAAAAGGTAGCTCTTGCTGGGAGCACAGCAGAGCTATTTGCTAACTTCAGTTCCATTTTCTAAATTCTGTGCTACTCTGTTTTCTTCTTTCTGTGAAAACTGTAGGGGCCATACACACGTAGAATGGAATGTTAACAATCTTTTAATAAGATGTTTCCAGATAGATTTAATGTAATTTTTCTTTATATTGTCAGGTCACATTTAGAGGGTATAGGCCCTGTGACATACTTGCCAGTAACTAGGATCCCAGCTGACAAATAGATGTTTACAACACTGGAAGTCTTTCTGCATTGGAGCTCACATCTTTGGTAGACAGACTGCAAGATCCACTTGCTATCTTACAAAGTCTCAGGTCAAGGAATACAAATTGCACTAAGCAATTCATCTTCTTGTTCAGAGTCATTAAATTCCCTCCCAGAATATATTTGATTGATATTCTTGGAGGTGAAAGGCTAAAGGGACCATATGGCAACATGTGGCATTCCATATGTTATCTGCCCATCCGTGCTTAAGCTGCCATTAGCAACATCTGCAACCCCATGGAAATCCAGCTGTGCAGGAAAAAAAACTATTGTCAGGATGGGAACTAAACAAATGCTTGAAAAGTTGTAGCCTTTTATCAGAATCAGGCTGTAATTTGAGAGCAGACATTTAACAATAATAACTCAACCAAGTTAAGTGTTTTATTGGCAATTAAGAAATTGAAAAAAAATATGCACAGCAATGGACGTTTTAATGCCTGTAGTGGGGAACCAACCGGGAGGGAGGAAGCATACTCGGGTTCTGCGGGGCAGGAGGTCCCACCCAAGGGTCTCTCTCATAAACCCTCTCCCGGGTGCCACGAAGCCCCTCCTCTCCGCGGACGGGAAGCGGCTTCCGCGGTGTAAAAACTGCGGGCTCTTTTAGGGGAGGGGACAAGGAAGAAGCACCTCCCCCTTCGCCGCCGCGCGCCCCCCCCCAAAAATAAGTATCAAGACTCCTGCAGAATAAGTTTGTTCTTTATTCCCGCAGGGAAAGGCGGGCTTGGCGAGGCGGAGCGCAAGCGACCCTTCCTTGCCTTCTCACCAACACCACCACCAGCATCCCCATCTTTCTCATCCTACCTGTTTCTGGGGCTCCAGGAGTGTGGCTCCTTTGCAACGCGAATACTCCGCGTGCTCGCCCTCCTTGTGGTGAAGCTACGGCACTCCTGGCCTCCTCCGCCCTCGCGTCCCTCCCCGGGGCAAGCGGTCAGGCCACCACCACCCCCTAAGGGCAAGAGGTTCCCCCCCCCGCTCCCACGAATGCCGGTGGCTTTTCGTCGTCTTCTTCCTCCTCCTCCTCCTCTTTCTTTCCGAGCCCCGCTCGCCGCGGCACCTAAAGAGGGCCCATGATGGCCGCCCCGGCGAAGCCGCCAGCAAGCCAGGCTCCCGACAGCCAAGAGCGTCAGCATCCCCCGTCAGCCGAGCCCGCTCTCCGTGACGGCAGCGCCAAGCTGTATAAATAGCCCGGCCCCAACCCGGGGCACCCGAAGGGAGGGAGAGCGAGGGAGGGAAGGGAGGAAGGAAAGGAGTGTGGCGGGCGGAATTTCCACTGACGCCGCCAGGAACGGAAACAATGGCTTTGGAGGC